AGGAATGATCTGAAGACAGGCAGTTTAGAAATACCAGAGAGAGATATGGCCCTGTTAACACACTAGTAAAGATCTTTCCAACTGTGTGTGTATTGAGGTGCACTTCATAATCCAGCTATTGTGGGTCCATTTTGTATTGCATGAAATCTTGGCCCCACTGAAGTCAATGGCACTCCTGCTGACTTCAACAGGGCCAGGAGTTTAGCCATTGGTAAATCAGATGGAATTTTGTGACCTGATTATCTGGTCACTTTTAAGTTCTAGACATACATATTACTGTTATTAGGTTACACTGCAACAGTTAATGGCTCTTATGACAAAGAAGGACTAAAATCAAGCAAATTTGTATGCATAGTTAGTTTTGGACTGTTTAGTCTAAAGCTAAATAGTGAACTGTACGGACTTATCCAACTATCACTTTGTGCTCCAAGGGAAACATAAATGCATGTCTAGGGATGTGTGCAAAGTGAATATTTGAGGAACAGCTACTCCATAATATAAATTTGATGGAAAGGTTAAATTCTGAAGGACAATTCTGTGTGTGTATTTAGCTTGTGTTTAAATTAAAAGGCATGTCACTTTTCAACTGTCTTGTTCATGTTTTGACTGTCCTCCAGTGAAAGGAGCTAGGTGGTGGTGAATTACATCAGTCATGCAAATCAGTGTTGGGGATGATTAGTGACTGTTGGCAGGATCATCTTGTGGCTAAAGAAGTGCAGTGGGAGACCTTGGTCAGTTCCTGGCTATGCCACAGACTCCCTGTGGTTGGGGAAAGAGCAGTCACTTGGAATTAGATATTCAGAATGGCCCAGCACACTGGGTGCTGAGCTCATTAAATAAGCCATCCACCTTCTTTCCCTTTGCTTCTGTAGTGGGCCTTCTGCAGTTGGCTTCCCATCAGGCCATGAGTTCTATTGTGCCCATTACAGTCTCAGATGGGACACTAGGTGGCGCATGACCTCTAAGCTCCTGTTCCCGGATTTATTTATTTTAAAATGCTTTAAATGGGTTATTTGCCTGAAATAATAATAAAGTGTGGATGCTCTGAGGTAGTCACAAAAGCTGTAAAATAAATGAGCTTTTTTTATGCATGGTGAGTTCACGGTAAATGGGGAAACAAAGAATCCAATGTTGCAAGGGTGGGCAATCAATTTTTAGACTTGCTTTTAAATAACTGTAGCTGAGTATTACCCTAACACGTATTCTTAATCAGTTACTTAGTAGTAAAGATCTTTCCAACAGGAATTCTGGATACAAAAATCACCTGCCAAGAAAGCTGTTTTTGTCTCCCGTGTGGTTTTAGATCTCAGCTGTGCAGCTTCTGTTATCAGGAAGCAGAACATAAGTTTGCATTTTGTAATTTCAACACAAAATAGTTCTTTTGTTCTCACAATTTGCTTCTCTTCCCTAGTTATACAGTCCCCTTCTTTCTGTAGAATATGATTAAGTGCTCTTTCCTACAGATAGATGGGCACACATTTTGCTATATTTCTTAATTCCTGAAAATAATTTTTTTACCATACTTTGCATTTTCACTCTTCAGCCCTGGATCTCAAAGTGGTCTACAGTTGTGAGTTAGTATCCTCATCCCCATTGTACAGATGAGGAAACTGAGGTATGGGAAGACATATTGACTAGCTGAAGGTATGCCAGTGAGTCAGTGGCAGAGCAGAGTATAGGAAACCAGGTAATCCTGGCTCTGTCTTCTAACCATTTTGTGAGCAGACTGCTTAGATATAAATACTAACTTACTGCACTCTCTGTGATACTTATACTCCCTGGAACTGCAGATTGGAATCTAAATAAAATCAACTCAACTTTCCAAGGAAGATGAACTTAGATCTGTGTAACTTGTGTTCAAAGGTTTCCTTTGAACCTGGGTTCTGCTCTGACAGAACCTGTTACACTTTTTATAGGAGTTGGGTATTTCCCTATCGCTAACATGTCCTACCTCCAACATTTGTAGTGCATGCTGTGTGCACACCACCTCCTCTTCACTGTCTGCAACCACCTCCTCTTCACCATTCACTTCATTTCAGTGGTTGTGTAGATATAGATCTAAACCACTTGAGGTTCCTTCAGAATAAAAGGTGCTACAGAAATATAAAGGGTATTGTCAGGTTTTTATTGATGTAAACAAGTGCATCTCCACTGACTTCAGTAGAATTGTGCCAATTTATACTAGCAGAGAATTTTGGCCTGTTATCTGCATATGATTTAAGGTGTATGGATTGCCAGATAGGAATCCTGTCTCTGCTAGTGGCTGATAGCAGGTGCTTCAGAGGAAAATGTAAGAATCCCCATTGTCCTGATCTGCACTGAAGTTTGCTGCTTCTACAACAAATGGATGACACACATCCTGCAAGGAATAGGAAATGAAATTCTCTTCTGAGGGTGTGCCTACACTGCACCATTATTTTGAGATAACTAGCGTTATTTCGAAATAACAATGCAAGAGTCTAAACAGCCACTCTGTTATTTCGAAATAATTTTGAAATAACAGAGAGCTTATTCTGAAATCTGTTAACCTCATTCTATGAGGAATAACACCTGTTCTGAAATAGCTATTTTGAAATAAGGCATGTGTAGACCACTCCACTGCTGCTATTTCAAAATAGCCCCTCACCGGGGCCTCCTGAGGCTCTAAATCAAGATAGCACATCTACATTAGGGAAGCCTGCCTCGGACTAATTTTGAGGTTTTCCTGCAGCGTAGATGTGCTATTTTGAAATAAGCTATTTCGGAATAACTCTGGAATAGCTTATTTTGAAATAATCGTGCAGTGTAGAGATACCCTAAGTAGGAGGAGAGGGTTTTTTTTTCTAGTGACGTCTCTGTAAAGCCTCCAAGTTGAGTAAGATACAGGCAGTCCCTGAGTTACGCAGATCCGACTTATGTCGGATCCGCAGTTAAGAACGGAGATTTTCTCGCCCCGGAGGACTGGAGCGGCGGGACGCCTGGTCCCGCCGCCCGCCTCCTCCCGGGCGATAAAAGCTGCTCCCCATCTCCCTGGGCAGCTGGAAGCGCGGGGCCCGCCCCCGG